CAGCCTGGGCACATCCTCCTGCCGCCCGCGCTCCTCTCCGCGCCGTCCCTGCTCCGCGGCTCGGCCCTCCGCTGCGCTCGGCTCCTGCAGGCTCTCGGCCCCGCGCCCCTCGGCCCCCGCCCCGCTGACCGGACAGGTAAGGCATGGCCTTGGCCCGCCCCTGGCCCCGCCCTCCCGCCTCACCTGGTAGCGGCCCCGGACAAAGGTGGGCTACCTGGCGCGCTTAGGGGCGGGGCGCGCGGGGAACTGTGGCCGGAGGTGAGGATCCCGCTTTCCTCCCTGCCCGCCTCGCCCTCGGAGCCGTCGGTCCGTGTGTCCGCCGCCTCCGCTCCTCGCGGCGTCTCCAGGCTCTGCTCCCGGTCCCCGCGTCCGCCCACCTTCCGCCGGACGCTCACTTTTCTAACGCTCTGACACTCTGTCTCGCGCGCGCCCTCGCCGCCCTCTCTGGGTCGCGGCTGTCGCCCACTCTCCTCCTCCCTCTGGGACCGCGTCTCTCTTTGTCTCTCTGTCTCTGAGTCTCTGGGTGGTCACCAAGGCGGGGGAGTGGACTGGGGAGTCCGCACCGCTCGAAGAAGCTTCGAAGACTTCCTGAGCCCCGAACAGAGCTGGCAGGCATGTCCTCCTGCCCCTTTCGAGGCTGCCTGGGGGGCTAAAGTATGTCGGGGGGAGAAGGTTCAGGATGCGCCCTTCCAGCACTGCCGGTGGCCCCGCGCCCGGGCCAGTTCCGCGCCCTTGCAAACCCCGACGGCCCCGGCTCAGGCCCTCTTCCTCCCCACTGGCTTTTCTCCATTCGCGCACCCGGGTCTCAGCCGCCTGCGGGAGCCAGGAGCCGAGGTTTGAGACGTGAGGGCTTTTGGGTTTCCTTCTTGCTTTCTTCCACTGGGTGTTCCCTCCGGCCTTCGCCTCCATCTGGTCTCCTGCCCTGCGCACTCCTCCACTCTGCCCTCCGCCCAGCCTGTGGCACGCCGAAGTGTCCCGGTGCGGGTTCAGCACCATCCCTCTGGGATCCGGCAGACAGAGGCCCTGGGAGTGATCGTGGACAAAGGAAGGCATGTCTCTGAGCCTCAGTGTCCCCTTCATAAAACGGGGATAATAGCACCTACCTACAGGGACGTGTGTTGGAACAGTGAGGGGGGAAAAAAACAGATTGGATGCCAGCACAGTACACGCTTGGGGATCATGGGGGAGGCTTCAGTCCCTGGCTGGGGTGGGGTTGGGGACGCCACAGCAAGGGGGATATGGATCACCAATTCAAGCCTTAGAGACACTGCAGAGAAACAGGACTGTGGTCCCTTCCCACATGGGGGTCACAGTTGCAGCCCCCCCATTACAGGGTTCCCGCTCTCATAGGCACTGTCCTCTCTTCTCGATCCTCCTCTCTGCTTGTCCTCAAATCAGTTTAAAAATCAGGGTGAAAAGGGTCTCTGCTTCCAAAATGAGATGAGTGTCTCTGAGTCAATGTTGCCAACAGCTGGTCATTCATCATGAGGCATCCATGTGACTCATTCCCAATTCTGAACCTCTGTCTTGCCCCGATTTATTTTTTAATGGCACTAGCTCACAAGCCATTTCCTTTCCTCTGGGGGCATTGTCTTGTTGTATCCTGGACCTGCTGTATAATTGCCCAGAGCCTCTGACCATCATAGCATCTCTGTCCTCATAGCAGGTGACACACACACACCCCCAGGAGTCCAGCAGTGACAGGGACCAAGTGGCTTAATGAGGGCCACTTCAGCAGAGGGAAACCTCCCAGCTGGCAAGTTCTAGGCTCTCCTGGCTAAGTTCTGGTTTTTAGCCCCAGTCAGGGCTGGCAACCTGAGCCTTTCTCTTTTAAAGAAGACACACAGGGAGGGCGCCTGGGTGGCTCAGATGGTTGGGTGTCTGCCTTCAGCTCGGGTCGTGATCTCCAGGTCTTGGGATCGAGCCCTGCATCGGGCTCCCTGCTCCGCGGGGAGCCTGCT